GTAGAGTGAAGCTTTTAGTAGCAGTATTTCTAGAAATTCCATTAGTTCTTTCCATGTCTCTGTGGTGGTCATATCTGATAGTCTTGTTTATTTTTGTTACTCTAATCTTTCCCTCAATATTTTATACATAGCTATTTTGTATTTAACAGTTTCAATACCTGAAGTCCTGAGGGGGGAATCTAAATCTGTGTTAGTTGTTTTTCCTAATTGTCCATCACGGTGGCTTGTCCTACTGTGGTTGCTGATCTCTAATTGTGAACTTATATTTACTTGATCTTAATGTTTGGGAATATTGAGAGCCTGAATTGGGGGTGTGTTCCTCCAGATAAGATTTGCATCTGCTCTGCTTCTGCTGGGAGCCACGTGTTGCAACTGGTCTGGGACCACTTTTAATTTTCTTTAGTGGTGCCAGTACTGAAAGCCTCAGTTAAATGATTTGAATGTCTTACAGCATCAGCTTCTTAAATCCCAATGTATCCATCTCCACAATGGGGAAATACCTACCTCTGGGGATTAGGTCCTGTTCTTGAGTCTTGCAAAAGTGGTTTCCCCTGCAAAGTGTTTCCGTAGCTGACCAACCTCTTTTTGACAAACACATCGTCTAGATGAGAGATAGTGGAGCAAATGCAGTTGTTAAGAGCTTTAGCTCTGGTGTCAACACACCTGGTTTCTAATCTCATCTTTGTCACTTGACAGCTGTGGACATCTGGGCAAGTTATTCAGTTATATGAAGCCTCATTTCCATGACTGTAAAATGGGGATAATAGTAGTGCTTATTTCTTAAGATTATTGTACAGAATAAGATAATACATGGGGCTTATTTTTTACAAAATAAAAAATTAGCATGGGGCTTGGCACAGAGTAAGTACTCATTAATTGTTATCTACTATTATTATTAGATATATTACTGTATTAAGTTTTAATGGCTTAGGAACCACTTAGATCTTTTTAAATTGACTTCTGTGGCTATTTTTTCCCATTGGCTATATTTTTTAGTTTAACTCAGAGGCAGTTCTTCCATCGTAGTTTTTAGGATTCCTCATTTTTTTTGCCTCCTTCTACTATATACCTTTCCATGTAACAAACTAAAATAATATGGTATCTACCATACTTTCAGCTGTTTGAAATTGAGATAATTCTTTGGGAACCTTTTATCTTACCCATATTCATTAATCTTCTATTGAATTGGAATCTTTTTGGGTAACCAATTATATTAAAATTTAAACTAAAAACAGCATGGTTTTATAGTTTGTTTTTTCTTATTATAAAGGTAATGTGTATTTGTCGTAGAAAATTGGGGAAAAGATAGAAAAAGTATTAAGAAAATGAAAATCTTTTATAATCTCTTATAGTCCATTCTTAATACAGCAAGCAGCCAGTGTGATACTTTAAGTATAAATCAGATCTTTCCACTTCCCTACTCTCAATGCCCCATTGGCTCCCTAGTCTTCACTGTGGCCCACAAGGGCCTACAGATCTGGCACCTGACTCCCTCTTCAGCTTCATTCTGCCCACTGTCCGCTTGCTCTCTGAGCTCCAGCCACCTTGGCCTCCTTGCATTCCTCAGACACATCAAGCACCTTCCCATCGTAGAGCCTTTCCATTAGTTTTTCCCTCTGCCTTGATTGCTCCATCCCCAGATAACCACAAGACTGGCTCCCTTACTTCCTTCAGATCTTTGCTCAAATATCACCTTATCAGAATCCTTCTGAGCACCCTGTCTAAAGTAGCCCCTCCATCACTACCCTCTTACCTTTCTTTGTTATTCTTTATAGCACCGTTTTCTGATGTTATGTTGTGTATTTCTTTATTCTCTGCTTATTATACTCCTCTCTCACTAGAGGACATGTCCTTTGTTTAATTCACTGATGTATTCTAGCACTTAGAACAGCGCCTGGCACAGAGTAGGTACTTAGTAAATATTTGTGGAATGAATGAATCCCAGTGCTCAGAAATAGCTATTGATATTTTCATGTGTTTTCTTCCAGTTTCTTTTTTGTGTTTATGCATGTCTGTATGTGCATTTTTTTTATTTGAGATATCTATATGTCTAAACTATTTAAAATTGAGGTAGCATTATATAATGTTATAGCCTGCTTCTTCCAGTTAATTTTATAAACATTTGCCAGTGTTGTTTAGCGTTCTTCATAATAAATTTATTTTGTCTTTTCACTACATTAAATACAAATTCCATACCCATCTCCTGTTATTGGACATTTTGGTTTTTTCCAACAAGTTGATTTTTAAATCTCTTTCCAGAAGGGCATATACCGCATCTTTAGGAGAGACAGCAGTTGCATTTGACTTTGGGCCATTGGCAGCAGTTTCGAAGAATATATTTGGACAAAAAGGCAAAGAGGAAGTAGTGGCATACCCATTGTACATCTTATATGAGAATGGGGAGACTTTCCTTACGTATGTTAGTCTGTTTCACAGGTAAGATGAAGTGATACCCCACCTGAAAGGAAAACCTAGCTTGTGCTCCAGTATAGATTGTGGTGGTTTGACTTAGGATTCATATTTTCGAGCTTGTGGAAGTATTGCAGCCTTTTGATGCTTGGCTTGCATATTTTGGAGAAATAATTGGTACAGATGTTTTGACCTTTTATTTCTTCATATTATTTTGTAAATTCTGTAGAATTCCTGGATAATCACATAAGATAGGACTGGATCGATATTCACAAAGTCTAGTCAACCAAAAAAGTATTAATATTTTGTGTCTTCTGTGTACAAGGCACTGTGGGGATGATTAGACATGGTAATTTGGTATGTTATGTCCCAGTGGTGGGGAAAAGACATACATACACATGAAAAGATAATTAGCCGTAGTCCACAGACAGTAAGAACCTAGAGGAAAGATCATTCTGGTTGGAGAAGTTGAGATTTTCATAGAGTAAGAACTGATGTTATGTAGGACTTGAAGGTCTAATGCAGGATTAAATGAAACAACAAGAAAGGGTAAGCCAATTTCAGTCAGAAGGGCAGCGTGAAGTAGAGTATGAAAACAAGCAAGTGCAAGAATTGTTTACAGTTCAGTGATGAGACAGTTCGGGCGAGAGCAGACGATTCATGTCGAGAGTATTAAGTGATAAAGCTAGAAGTGTCTGTCCAGGGAAAATGTAAAACCAAACCCGTTGCCATCAAGTGAATTCCGACTCATAGCGACCCTATAGGACAGAATAGAACTTTCCCGTAGGGCTTCTAAGGCTGTAATCTTTGTGGAAGCAGACTGCCACATCTTTCTCCCATAGAGAGGCTGGTGGGTTTGAACAGCCAACCTTTCGATTTGCAGATGTTCGCTTTAACCACTGTGTCACCAGGGTCCGGTGGGGTTAAATGACTGATTAAGGAGTCTGGGGTCTATTCTGTAGTGAGTAAAGCCAGTGATGGTTTCTGAGCAGGAGAAGGATAAAACAACTGATTGGGGAAGGGACTGGGGAGGAGAGGAGACTTTTAAAGAAGCTGTTGCAAAGTTGAGCTTAGCGTTTAGAAGAATTTTAACTAGGATAGTAGTAATGCAAAGGGAGAAATGAACATAGTAGATACTACAAAGGAAGGGATCAATAAGACTTAAGTTATTTGGATAAGGGAGTGAGCCATTAGCAGAAATAACAAAATAACAATCTCTACCCTCTGTTTTGACAGCCAAAAATTTCTTTAGATATTGCTCAGTGTCCCCTGGGGGAGCAAGATCATCTCTGATTGAGAACCGCTGAAGTGGTGGAGTGTAAGTGGGGAAGAGAAAAAGTGGAGAATTGAGAATATGCATTTTTAAGGCTACCAACAAAAAGGTTGGCAGTTCACATCTGCCAGATGCTCCTTGAAAACCCTGTGGGGAAGTTCTACTCTGTCCTGTAGGGTTGCTATGAGTTGGAATTGACTCGATGGCAGTGCAACAGGTTATGAGTTATCTGGAAGAAGACAAAATCAAAGAAGGGTATTAAGTGATGAGCATGGTTATCTTCTGTCAACATTTCCCAAGTGTGTTCTCACTCTTTCTGTAGCCCCGGGAATATTGGAAAGCTGTTAGGTCCGTTGCCCATGCATCCTGCAGCTGAAGATAACTATGGTTATGATGCTTGCGCTATACTCTGCTTACCCTGCATCCCCAACATCTTAGTGATAGCTACTGAATCAGGAATGCTGTATCACTGTGTTGTGCTAGAAGGGGAAGAAGAAGATGACCAAACTGTAAGTGCAGGCTAACATGGGGGTGTATATTCAACATCTAGTATGGTTCCTGGCCAGTGTGGATGTTTAATATATGAGGAATTTTAGCATATCTGGCACTTCTGATATTTGGGAAGTTAAATGCTTAAAAATCATACAAGCACACATAAAAATCTAAATGGAAAGAAGCTGGAAGGTTGCCCAGCTTCCTTGGCCCACCATCCTACTTGTTTCATTCTGAATTCTATTGCAGTCTTTAAAGGGGGACAGATGTAAAGAACCTTTGAGCTGCTGAATTGGCTTTTCTCTAAACGTGTTCATTTACATCTTTCTAAAAGAAGAGAGACCTTTTTTATTCTCTTTTGAAAACGTAACAAAGCACCATTAGGATAGGGGGTGGAATTAAAGAGTTTGAAAGCACTCTTTGACCCAACTTTTCACTTCTGTTTTTAATTGTGTACATTTTCAAATGAACATGGAAGACCAAAACTATAATTTTTTTTTTCTTCTTTTTTTATAGTCAGAAAAGTCCTGGGATTCCAGGGCTGACCTCATTCCTTCTCTGTATGTGTTTGAATGTGTTGAGTTGGAGCTTGCTCTGAAACTGGCATCTGGAGAGGATGAGCCCTTTGATTCTGACTTTTCTTGTCCAATCAAACTTCACAAAGGTAAGGTATTGATTAAATTTAGTTTTTTTTAATCCTATTATATTTATACTCTCTATTTATATGAACGTACATATATATATACATATGTGTAGATATATATATACGTATGTATGTATGTAAGGTGAAGGCTAAGTTTATGACTAGGAGTCTGGAGTGTCCTAGATTTTAGTCCCAGCTCTACCACTGATAGGCTCTATAGTCTTGGGCATTTACTCAACCTCTCTGTTACACAGTTTTCTCATCT